GGGTTAGATACAGAGTAAAGCTCCCTCTACACTGTCCCCACATCAAACACTCCCAGGGACAGGGACAGCACGGGATTAGATACAGAGTAAAGCTCCCTCTACACTGTCCCCCCATCAAACACTCCCAGGACAGGGACGGCACGTGGTTAGATACAGAGTAAAGCTCCCTCTACACTGTCCCCCATCAAACACTCCCAGGACAGTGACAGCACAGGGTTATATACAGAGTAAAGCTCCCTCTACACTGTCCCCCATCAAACACTCCCCAGGGACAGGGACAGCACGGGGTTACATACAGAGTAAATCTCCCTCTACACAGTCCCCCATCAAATACTCCCCGGAGAGGGACAGCATGGGGTTAGATACAGAGTAAAGCTCCCTCTACACTCTCCCCCATCAAACATTCCCTGGACAGGGACAGCACGGGTTTAGATACAGAGTAAAGCTCCCTCTACACTGCTCCCCCCCATCAAACACCCCCAGGACAGTGACAGCACGGGGTTAGATACAGAGTAAAGCTCCTTCTACACTGTCCCCCATCAAACACTCCTAGGGCAAGGACAGCACGGGGTTAGATACAGAGTAAAGCTCCCTCTACACTGTCCCCCATCAAACACTCCCAGGACAGGGACAGCACGGGGTTAGATACAGAGTAAAGCTCCCTCTACACTGTCCCCCCATCAAACACTCCCAGGACAGGGACAGCACAGGGCTAGATACAGAGTAAAGCTCCCTCTACACTGTCCCCCCATCAAACACTCCCAGGGACAGGGACAGCACAGGGCTAGATACAGAGTAAAGCTTCCTCTACGCTGTTCCCATCAAACACTCCCAGGACAGGGACAGCACAGGGCTAGATACAGAGTAAAGCTTCCTCTACACTGTCCCCCCCATCAAACTCTCCCCAGGACAGGGACAGCACTGGGTTAGATACAGAGTAAAGCTCCCTCTACACTATGCTCAGAGACACTCCCCGGATATCTGTGTGGGATAATGGGACCAGTCTGCCTGTGAGATCCTATGCCCGAGCAGGCCATGGAGCAGAAATTAAACCCCACACTCAGTCTCCAGGAAGTTGTACATTCAGCTCCTACCTGATTTGAGATTCCATTCCTTTGGAACAGGACCTGCATGAGGGAGAGAGAGTAGGAGACAACCTGTAAAAGAAGACATCAAGACTATATTGTCCTCTCACCCTCTCTCTCTCCCCCTTTCATCTGCTCACACTCTAACAAACTCTGTCTCCTGTTGTCATTATCCTGTCACTCTCTATGTCTCTCACTCCCTCTGTCTCTAACTCTCTGTCTCTCACTCCCTCTGTCTCTAACTCTCT